GCTCAGATGATCATTAGAATTTTTTACAAATTACTCTGATTTTTTATTATACCAATTGTTTTCACTATAGTATATTGAACTCTTAATAGACTACAGTATAGTGTAAACATAACTTTTATATCCACTGAGAAATTAAAAAATTGTGTGACTCACTTTATCACAGTATTCGTTTTATTGTGGTAGTCTGGAACTAAGCCCTAAGTATATCTAAAGTTTGGCTGTACCAGTATCCAGAATGAAAGGGGATATCATTACAGACCCTACATACATTAAAAACATAATAAAATAATATTGTGAGCAGATTTGAATGTTTGAATATTGATATGGCTTGTCTCTGTGTCCTGCCCCCCCCACCCTACTGCCACTAATCTCACCTTGAATTGTAATCTCCATAATCCCCATGTGTCAAGGGTGGGACCAGGTGGAGGTAATTGTATCTTGGGGGCAATTTCCCCCTTTGTGTTCTGCTGATAATGAGTGAGTCTCATGAAATCTGATGGTTTTATAAGCATCTGGCATTTCCCCTGCTTGCACTTCTCCTTCCTGCTGCCTTGTGAATAAAGTACCTTGCTTGCCCTTTGCCTTGTGCTATGAGTGTAAATTTCCTGAGGCCTCCCCAGCCATGCTGAACTGTGAGTCAATTAAACCTCTTTCCCCAATAGATTACCCAGTCTTGGGCATGTCTTTATGAGCAGTGTGAGAATGGACTAATACAAATGTCATTAATAAATTTCATACCGTAGATTAAATGTGCAAATTCCTTGAAAGACAAACTAAAAAATGACCTGAGAAGAAAAGACACTTGAATCTATCTGTATCAATTAAAGAAGTTGAAATTGTAATTAGAAACCTTTTGAACATTTGAACTCCAGGCCCCTTGTTGTGAATTCTGTCGAACATTTAAAGTAGAAGTAAGGCCAGTTCTACATAAGTTCTTTTAGACAATAAAGAAGGAACATGTTTTATGTGATTATTACCTTGATGTTAAAACCAGGCTAAGACTTTACAAGGAAAGAAAACTGCAGTTACTCATGAACATAGATGCAAAAATACCTAATAAAAGTTTAGCAGTTTCTATTGAGTAATATATAAAAATGACAATTCATCATGTTCAAATGGGGGTTATTTTAAGAATGTAAGATTGCTTTAACATCTGAAAGTCAATCAGTATAATTAACCGTATTATTATAATAACATAGAAAAAACATTTGAGTATTTCAATAGATGCAGAAAAAGAATTTGACAAAATTGACCATGATAAAAAAATAAAGACATAGCTAACTATAAATAAGAGGCACTTTCCATTTTGATTAAGGGAATATCTGCTAATATTGTACAAAATGGTGACAGTCTTAATGCTTTTTATGTAAGATCAGGAAAATATATATTTCGTGTCACTACTTCTCTTCAGCTTTGTACACCAGGTCCTTACCAGTGTTTTAGAAAAGAAAAAGGAAAAAGGAATAAAAGGCAAACAAATGGGGAAGAAAAAAGTATAATGGCTTTCCTTGTAGATAAGAATATACATATAGCGATTGGCTGAAAATAAATAGATAAAAAGGTGTACCATGCAAGTAGTAAGCATTAAGGAGACTAGAATGAGTGTATTCTTATAATATATACAATGGTCTAACCAGTCTAGAAAACTGTTCTGTAGTTTCTTAAAAAGTTGGAAATATATCTACCATATGACCTAGCTGTTTCACTCCTACCTAGTATTTGACCAACAGAAATTAAAGCAAATGTTCAAAGACTTGCACACATGTGTTCAAAGTGACTTTATTTGTAATAGCCAAAAACTAGAAACAACTTAAATATTCGTCATGAAGTGATGGCTATTTCCATCCATGTTGTGGTATATCCATAGAATGGAATGCTCCTCGGCAAAGTGGAGAAAATATTTAGTGAAAAACACAATGCAGATGAATCTCTAAATAATTAAGCAGAGTGACAGAAGACAGATGAAAAATACATACTCTATGCTTTGATTTATATAAATTCTAGAAAATTCCATCCGTAGGGACAAAAAGTTGGTCAGTGGTTACGTAGGCAGGATGGGTTGCTGTGTTGGAGTTCTAGAGGAAGATTACAGTGTGGCAGAAGGAATCTTTTGGAAATGATAGATATGTTCACTATCTTGACTGTGATGATGGTTTGACAAGTACATACATACGTCACACTTACCAAAGTATATACTTTAAATGTGTTCATTTTGCATGTCAGTTATACATAATAAAATGCTTAAAAGGGAAAATGAAAAGATGCATTGGTGGTATAATGGTGAGCCTAGCTGCCTTCCAAAACCATGTGAAAGTTAATCAGTAAAACAGTATAAAATAGTTATATGATATAAAATAGTTATATAGAATAGTTATATGATCTACTGGAATTGGCATTCCAGTAGAAACAGAAAACTTTGTACAAGTAGCAAAAAAAAATTACAGTAGAGATAAATCCAAGTATGTTAGTTATCAAAACTGTAAATGTGTTGGATATTCATATTGAAAACATCAAACTGAATTTTTAAATGACTTTATTGATATAATCTACATACCATAAATTTGCCTATTAAAGTATACAGTTTAGTGGTTTGTGGTATAGTTTCAGAGACAACACCACCGTAATCTAATTTTGAATCATTTATATTACCCCTAAAAGATAACCTTGTAATTATTAGGAGTCATTCCCTGTTCCTTTCTCTGCTTTTTATTTGCCAGAAGTCTTAGACAATCACTAATCACTATCATATATCTCTATAGATATGCCTATTCTATATATGATATTAATATTGAATGAGATCATGTGCTATGTGGTCTTTTGTGATTGATTTTTTCATTCATTTTTGAGGTTCATCCACATTGTAGTATGTATCCATTTTGCTTTCCCCTTTATTGCTGAATAATTTTCCATTTTATAGTTATACCACATTTATATCACCAGTTTTGTCCGCTTTTGGGCTAGTAAGAATTATGTTGCTCTGAACATTTGTACAAGTTTTTGTGTGGGCATATGTTTTCATTTTTCTTGAGTGTATGTACCTAGGAGTGGAATACTTGGGTTTGCTAAACTGTTTTCAAACATGGCTGCATCATTTTACGTTCCCACCAGCATTGCATGTGGGTTTAATTTCTCCAAATTCTCACCAGCACTTGTTATCTGTATTTTTTACTATAACCATTCTTGTGGGTATAAAGTAGTATCTCATTGTAGTTTTTATTTGCATTCCCCTGCTGGCTAATGATAATGAGTGTCTTTTCAAGTACTTATTATTGTTTCATATATTTTGGATTATTCAAACTGAATTTTTAAAAATCAGTCTGAGCCAAATGCAGTGGCATACACCTGTAGTCCCAGCTACTAGGAGGCTGAGGCAGGAGGATCACTTGAGCCTAGGAGTTTGAGGCCAGGCTGGGCAATATAGTGAAACTGTGTCTGTAATAGGATACATTTTAAGATGACAAAGGCAAACCTTAAACTGAAATGTAAAGTCAGTGTAAAAACTCTGATGTCATGTGAAAAATGCGCAGTATGTCTATTGATTTATTAACTACTGGAAGGGATTGTTCCAGTTAAAAAAAAAAATCAATCTTTATACTGTTTACAAGAGACATACCTAAAATGTTATACAAAATGACAGAAACATTGAAAACGATAAACCAGGCATATAGTAGCCAAAAGAAAACGGTTATAGCTATGTTACTGCTATATAAAATAGATACTGTTTGAAAGATTTTTAATTTGTACATTGGTAAATTTCTGAAAAAAACTTTGTAGAAAATACAAGTCACACAAAATACATTTATAAGAAAATAAAAGTTATACAAAATATATATTGTACAACAGAGAACATTCAGTGAAAAGATTTTTATTCATTGATTGATACCTTCCTGGGAATTTTTGAAATTAAGGTGATTTGAAACGACCTAGATTTCCTTTCTCTTGATCATTTAGAAATGAACAGTGTTTTTTGTTGTCTAACTTCTGAAATATCAGTATGTCTTCATAGGATTTTTTGAATTGAGGCACCTGACTTTTTTTCCCATAAATACAGTAAATTTTTATTTTTTATTTTTTATTTTTTTTGCTTCTGGAAATAATGCCCTCTCTCTATGACAGAATCTCTATGACAGAATATTTTTCCTATGTTGTTATATCCCTGTCAAGTGAAAGCTCAGTATCCAAAAGTAAAATACAAAATTTTCAAATCAGAAGCCTAAACAAATCTCTTCTTCCCTACTCCGAACATGCATCCTTGAAGTTGACTCATGCATTTGCCTCTTCAAGTGATTAAAGTGTGAGAAGTTTATTCTTTGAGAATGCTGAGAGCTTCTTGGATAGATAGGGCCATAAGCCGTGAAGATTCAGACTTAGAATTATCATGAAAATATTTACTTAGAAGATTGAGACAGGATCCTGAAGGACATTTTGCTCAGTAAGATCAAATCTCTTTAGTCTTATTACCTTTATGTCTTAAAGTTTAAAAAGACTGTGTTTACTGTGTTACTTATTATATGGTTTGAATGAGGTAAAATGACTTGGCTTATACTGATTGTACTAATAAGGCTTTGGGAATTCTTATGGCATTATGTGGGTTGCGTTTAAGAAGAAAGGTGGTATAACTTTTTAAAATTTAATGCTTTTTAAAATTAAAAGTGTTTTTAGGGTTGTTGCGTAAAATAATTAAATCTTACATTTTTCCAAGGCTTGCTTATAAATTTGCAGAGAGTAAACAACTAAGTTAGTGATATTTTTTGAAATTTTAATTTGTGACATCTGTTTTTAAGTGTTTCTGTAGATACAAAATTTTCCTCAGTTGAACACAAATACTAATTATTTTTTCCACGAAGCACCAAAAACTTTCAATTCTTTATGTACTCTGTGTATGTATATATGATAAAATGTTTAGGTATTACTAAATATACATGTAAAATATTTTTTGTAATTTGTTAACATTTTTATCATTATGCAATACTTTGAATAATTTATTCTCTTTTGTCCAGGTTGAAGATTGTAAAAATTTCTTTTAAGTGCAAACAGTTTTTTATTCAACTTAGAAAAGAATTGGTGAGTACTGATTTAATAATTATTGATGTAAATGAAGCCTTTTAAGAAATACCCATTCATGACAGAAGTTTTCTGTTAGTACAAGTGAAAGTGCAATTAATACTATGGATAACTGCCTGCTGAGGTAATGAATTCACTTGTTATAACAAAATGTACTTGTTTTTCCAGTGTGTATGTGGTTCTCATTTAAAGTTCTTCTAGATATTCCTCTTGCTGTTTCTCGAGCTTAGAAACTGATTTCTCATACATGATGTTCATTGAAAACCTCGGGGTCCCTGTATGGAGGGCAGCAAATGAGCATTTCATATATCCCTTTTCCCCTACTAAATCTCTAGTACTTCCTTTCTTATATAAGTTCATTTCGTTTTAGGGGAGCTGAGTGTTACAAGTTGATGAACTTATAACACGTTGCCTCCCTTTGTTGGAGTGGTAATGGCTTTATATATTAAAAATAACAAATTGAGTTGTCATGGAAAGTATGGTGTTGCAAATAATTTCATCTTGTAAATGATTTTATCTGTTTCATTAAATCAAACTAACCTTATCCTTTAATTTACATTATTTTTTAGAAATCTGAGAAATCTTGGCAAATTAGTGCAGATTTCAAGATGATTGTATGTGTATGTGTGTAAAATGTATTTGAAACCTTAAAAATGTCTTTGGGGCTGTCCACAGTGGCTCAATCCTGTAATCCCAGCACTTTGAGAGGCTGAGGTGGGAGGATCACTTGAGACCAGAAGTTCCAGACCAGTCTTGGCAACTTAGTGAGACACTGTCTCTACAAAAAAAAAAAAAAAAAGGAAAAAAAAAATTAGCCAGGTGTGATGATGTGTGCCTCTAGTCCCAGCTACTCAGGAGGCTGAGGTGGGAGGATCTCTGGAGCCCAGGAATTCAAGGCTGCAATGAGCTATCATCACACCACTGTACTCCAGTCTGGATTACATAGGGAGGCCCTGTCTCCAAAAACAAACAAACAAAAAAAGCTTTTGGCTACAGTGGTGGCTTCTACCTGTTATCTCGGCTACTTGGAAGGCTGAGGTGGGAGGATAGGTTGAGCCCAGGAGTTCAAGGCTGCAGTGAGCTATGGTTGTGCCACTGTACTGCAGCATGGGCAACAGAGCAGGACACACTGCCTCCTGAAAAATAAAGAAAGTCTTTGAATCAGCTCTGTTGTGTTGATCTACTAAGTGATTATAAACTGTGGTTTATCATTTATGTTCATAAAATATAGAGGGATTTTTTTCAAGAGAATTTTTATTGAAATAAAATATAATACCGAAAATGTGCATATTTTAAGTACACAACTTGATGAAGTGAACATATCCATATCAGCACCTCCAAGATATGTAGGATATGTACCTCATTCTAATATGTAGAACTTTACCAGCACCCCAGATGCTTGAAATGTTGCTGCTGGAGCTGATGCCCACTTCCAGTCATTAAGCCTCCTGGAAGGTAAACATTCCTCTCATTTGTATGACCATGGATTAATTTGCTTATATTTGAACTTTAAAAAATGAAATTATACAGTTGTTGTCTTTACTGTCTGCCTTCTTTCCCTTAACATTTTTTGTGAGATTCATCCATGTTGTTGCATATAACGTTAGTTCGTTTCACTTATGTATGGTGTTCCTCTGAATGACTATGCCATAAATTATTCATTCTGCTGTTAATGGACAGCTTTGCCATTTCCAGGTTGGGGATATTATGACTAATGCTGCTAATGGAAATTCTTTTACATGTTTTAAAATTTAGCTGATTAAAATATAATACTGTTATCTGGAAACCAGAGGGCAAATATTTTACTTTAAGTAATCATAGATGGCACTGTAGAAGTCAACTTTTCTAATTTAACTTCTAGTAATATCCCATCATAATATTATTGTTATTAATAATAGTTATAATATCCAGGCTTTATTGAAAACTTACTATGTGCCTGGTAAAAGACCGGTCATTTTCATATCACTGAATCCTCACACTCATTTTCTGAAGTAGTGTACCAGTTAAAAGTGTGTTTACCAATAAGTGATAACAGCAACAATATCTAACTGACAATTGATTAAAGACAGTATACAGGGATCCTTTTGTAGTTCACAAGCATGATGATTAGATTTTCATGCTATTGGGTAAGATATGCCTTCCTCAGACTTTGTTACAGCATAGGCACATTACAACCTGTCTGATAGGAGAAAAGAAAGTAAAGATGGTATACAGGCCAGGCACGGTGGCTCATGCCTGTAATCCCAGCACTGTGGGAGGCTAAGGTGGGTGGATTGCTTGAGGCCAGGAGTTCAAGACCAGCCTGGCCGATATGGCGAAACCCCATCTCTACTAAAATACAAAAAAATAGTTGGATGTGGTGGCACACACCTGTATTTGCCGTTACTTGGGAGGCTAAGGCACAAGAATCTCTTGATGAAGGTTGCAGTGAGCCTATATCGTGCCATTGCACTCCAGCCTGGACAACAGAGCAAGGCTCCATCCCAGGAGGTGAAGGTTGCAGTGAGCCTATATCGCGCCACTGCACTCCAGCCTGGACAACAGAGCAAGACTCCATCTCAAAAAAAAAAAAAAAAAGACAGTATACAGGCATACTCTGCAGAAGATGGCCTTGTTAATGTCGTCTTTCTAAAACATCTCTTTGTTTTTAAATACCCAAACTTCATACAATATACTTATCTCTCAGTACAACTTTTTTTGTGTATTGTTTAGAAATTGGGCTGGAAAAATTTCTGTTACGTTTCAAATATAATGATAGAATATGGAAATTACTTAGACTTTTTGAAAAGTATACCAAGTGTCAAAATGCGTGAATATATATGCATCTTAGATGCTGATAGTGAGAAGCATTAGTGCATCATAGTAGCTGAGAAATTTTCTCTTACTTTGCATAATGTTTATGGCATATGGTAAAACATATAAACTATATATGTTAGTACAAACAAAACAACTATTAACCATAAGTAAGACTTAATTTTCTGGTAATCAAGAAGTGATGTTTTAAGCATATTTCCTTCTAATATGATAGTTTAATACTTTATACTTGGGCATTTTATTATGTATTAGTCATGGGAAATATCTTAATGAACTTTTGATGGGCAAGGATTTCTTTAACCGGACATAGAAGGAAACCTTCATACCCTTAAAAGATTGATGATTTGGACTGTGTTAAAATTAATAACTCTCTTCATCAAAAGATATCACTAAGAGAGTGAAACAGTATAGAACATTATGTAATACACACAGAATCCTTGGTTTATATGCATCCTGATAGAAATATATGCCAGTGAATTGAATAGACAGTTCACAATTGAGGATATCCACGTGGCCATTAACACTGAACCTCAGTAATTATAAAGGAGGTTCAAAGTATAACCAAAATATGCTACCTCTACATACACAACAGAACAATAAGAGGAAAGAGATTGATAAACCAGTAGTTCGTGAATATATGGCACATATGCTACTGGTGGGAGGGAGTGTATATTGATCTACCCATTTTGGAAAACTGTTGGGCATTATCTACCAAAGCTGAGCATATGCGTACATCAAATGACCCAGCAACAAAAATGTGCATATGTGTACACCAGAGAACATACAGGAATATGCATGGCTGCATTCTTCTTATATCCCCAAACTAGAAATATCAAATGTCTGTGAACAGTAAAGTGGATAAGTTAACTATTAAATTCATTATAATAGAGTACTGTGGAAATGAGTGAATTGCTGCTTCACAAAGTTTGAATTTATATCAGAAACATAATGCTGAACAAAAGCCAGACCTAAAGACACATATGTGTGATTCCATGTATGTACAATAAAGTTCAAAAACAAGCATGACTATTCTATGGTGATAAAGGCAGAAGAGTGATTAACTTTGGAAAGGTAATCTGGTAGAAAGGGGAGATAAAGGATACTTCTGCGGTGGTAATAACGATCCATTTCTGAAACTGGATAAAGGTTAAATGGTTGTATTTATTGTGTGAAAGTCAGAGCTGTGCAATTATGGGATGTGAATGTTGCTATATATGGTTTACTTTAATGAAATTATTTATTTAGAAATCTGTACCAGTGTTCAAGAAAATGGGAAATTATTTTAGTACTAATTTTAAAATTTGAATTATGTAATAGTGTTCAGAGCTGCTGAATGTTCTTATTTACAATCTCGACAGATATTTTAAATTAGGAATATTGTTAAAAGTTGTGATGATGTATTTTAACATTTAATTTATGGCCTAGAATTATATTTTGAAACAGAGTCATAGCTAATGTTGAAAACAGATACATAGTAAAAGTTTGAGCTCATTTCTAACTATGATCTAAGGTAAAAGTTCCTAAGAGTTGTAATATGAATGAACAAGGCCAGCACGGGAGCTCATGATGTAATTCCAGCACTTTGTGAGACCAAGGCAGGTAGATCACTTGAGGTCAGGAGTTCAAGACCAGCCTGGCCACCATGGTGAAACCCCGTCTCTACTAAACATAGAAAAAGTTAGCTGGGTTTGGTGGTGCATGCCTTTAATTCCTGCTACTCGGGACCCTGAGGCTCAAGAGTCACTTGAACCCATGAGGCGGAGGTTGCAGTGAGCCAAGTTTGCACCACTGCACTCTAGCCTGGGTGACAGAGTAAGACTATGTCTCAAAAAAAAAAAAAAAAAAAAAGGATGAATTAGGTCCAGATTTTGCAGGCTTTTCCATATACTTCATTGCCTTTTTATTGGATAAGCAAAAAACCCTAGATAAAAGATCCTGTAGATTCTATCTATATCATTAACAAGTTCGTGTTTAGAAGGCTAGAATAATTTATCTGTCAAAAGTAAATTAAATGGAGCATTAGATCCTGACATTTTTTTGGTATTCTCTGCATTTTGTCATTTATTACAGCATGAATCTAGAGAAACATTATTGGGATTTAACATGGTGAATTACAGAGCATGTAAAAATTTGTGGAAAGCATGTGTAGAACATCACACATTCTTCCGTTTGGACAGACCACTTCCACCTCAAAAGAATTTTTTTGCACATTATTTTACATTAGGTTCAAAATTCCGGTACTGGTAAGTATTGCTTCTGTGTTAAGGCTTTATTGTTGGGGTTTTTTCCTTTCTTGAAAATAAAGATGTAGTTTATGGAACCATACAGCCTTTGTTACACATACTTAACTGAGTCAAAATTCGCATGGATTGCAACCACTGTATCAGTATCATTAAAAAGTTCTATCGGTTCTTATGATATACTACAGGCTTGAGAAGCCACCTCTGTTTTCTGTATTTCCTGGTCATTATTTTCTGGAGTAAATTAACTACATTTACTTATTTACAATCAAGACAGATGAACTTATTTACAATCAAGACAGATGACATAATTTCTATTGTGTCTTTATTAGATATTTACTTAAAAACTTTTCTTTGTTCTAAGACAACCAAGATATCTTCTGCTTAAAACTATATAATTATTGGTTTTTTAATTTAGAATTTAGCATATTTTTGGGTTGTCAAACCCTTTATTGTAAAGAGTTTAAAATAGTCACGAGACAAAATCAGATTTAGTCATTGAACAGTAACCCCAGGTTCCGTTTCCTAAAATTGTTTTATTCTTGATAGCTTTTATTTTTTCTGAAGGCAACAGATCTTTGGGGAATAACTAAATCTGAAGAAGCTCTGATTAGTTTTACCTATGGAATTATTACAAGGCCCAAGAAAGCTAGTTTTTAAGTGGAATCTGGTAAGAATCATGTAGAAAGTTACTCATTATCTTTTAGTAAAACAAGTATTATTCATTCTTGTTGGTTTATGCTTCACAAAATAAGATTTTTCATCTTCGATAAATAAAACCCTTGTCCAGTCGCAGTGGCTCACACCTGTAATCCCAGCACCTTGGGAGGCCGAGACAGGCGGATCACCAGAGGTCAGGAGTTCAAGACCAGCCTGGCCAACATGGTGAAACCCCGTCTCTACCAAAAACAAAAAAAATTAGCCGGGCATGGTGGCGGGCATTTGTAATCCCAGCTACTTGGGAGGCTGAGGCACGAGAATCGCTTGAACCCAGGAGGCAGAGGTTTCAGTGAGCCGACATCTTGCCATTGCACTCCAGCCTGGGTGACAGAGTGAGACTCCATCTCAAAAATAAAAATAAAATAAAATAAAAAAGCCTTGACCGTTATGTGTTAAGATTAATTCATGTTATATATTCATGAGAAAAATGTTTAGATGTTCCCAGAAAAGATTTAAATTGTAAACCTAAACATGTGTAATTGTCTAATTTGTAATGTCAGTAAAAATAACAGTATGAAGCTTAGTACAGGATATGTCACTTAAAATACATGACTCCAACCCCAGAAAAATTAGTAAAAGTGGCTCAAAAGTTCAGTAGTAACAAACAGAATTAGAATATTTTTAACCAAACAAAAGGCACAGTAATTTCCTAAGCGGTTTGCTGTCATGTTTAACTCCTTTTTTTGCCTTCCTGAAAGCAATTTTGAGCAAAGTAAGGTGACAGTACTTACAAATTTAAAAGTAAATAGATGGAAGGAGAGAGTGTCAGACCTATAATGAAAGTCAAGGAAAAAGCAAAGAGGCTTACCTAATAAATCTCAGCAAGGACGGAAGAAATCTCCACGGCTTTATGTGAAATGAGAACAGTACAAACCCTAAAGATATTATTTCAGTGAATTTAATTTCTAATTGATTACCAGGGTAGTTATACAAGGACTACTCTTACCCTCTGTTCGAATTCTCTTTTCTCCCCTTTGTGCTTGCGAATGTGACATAAACATACACCATTTAATTTAGATACAAAGAAATGAGTAGGACCAATAATCAGTCTTCAACTGTAATTCAAGCAAGTCTCAGACAAGATGAGAAAAAAAGTCAAGGAAGTTACCCAAACCGTACCAAAGCAAACAAAGTTTACATATGGTGACTTCAAATACAAAAAACAGTTGGAAAAACCTGTTTGGGAGGAAATCATCACTGAAACAGAAGGAAATTTGTACCATAAATATTAATAAAAGCAAGTTCAAGGACAGTCTGATTTAAAAAAAAAAAAAAAAAAAGATCAACCGGGAGGGGAGCAACACCTGCCATTCAGAAGGCTGTTACTGCCCTTGGGGAAGATTGGCCTAGTATTGACAGATTTTACATGTTTTTCAACAAAACTGAGATTAAGGACTATTAAATGGAATATGTACATTTTAGAAAATTGAACAATTATTTTAACAGCTTTATTGAAGTATAATTCACACATAAGAAATCGTATTCAAAGTTTAAAATCTGATGTTAGTATGATGAATTACTTTGATTGCATTTCAAGTATTAAGCCAGCCCTACATTCCTAGGATAAACCCCACTTGGCAATGATATCCTTTATATATATTGATTGATTCACTTTGCTAAATTTTGTTTAGGATTTTCGCATATGTGTTTATGAGGGATAGATCTCTGTAGTTTTCTTTCTTACGATATCGTTTTCAGATTTTTTCGTGTCAGGCTCAAATTGGCTTCATTGAATGTGTTGAGAAAGTTCCATTTTCTGGAAGAGGCTGCATAATAATAATATTATTTCCTTTTTAAATGATTGATAGAATTTGCAGATTATTTCATCTGGGGCAGGAGTCTTATTTATAAATAGGAAGCTTTTGAACTTTCAAATTCTTTAATAGATAAGGCAATTAAGGTTTTGTCTTTCTTCCTGAGCAAGATTTGGTAGTTTGTGTCTGTCAGCAAATTTAACCATTTCATCTAGATTGTTGAATTTATTGGCACAGAGTTTATAATATTCCCCATTTCTTTTTGATCTCTAGAATATGTAATAATGTTGCTTCTCTCATTCTTGGTATTGGTAACTTGTGTCTTCTTTTTTCCTTGATTAGTCTGCTAGTGGTTTATCAGTTTTAATTAAATATTTTTAAATAATGTAGGCCAGGCATGGGGGCCTGTAATCTCAGTGCTTTGGGAGACCAAGGTGGGAGGATTGTTTGAGGCCAGGAGTTCAAGTCCAGCCTGGGCAACATAGGCAGACCCCTGTCTCTACCAAAAGTTTAAAAATTAGCTGGGCTTTTTGGCATGCACCTGTAGTCCTATCTACTCAGGAGGCTGAGGGAGGAGGATCAGTTGAGGCCAGGAATTCAAAGTTACAGGACTATGATCAGGCCACTGCACTTCAGCCTGGTGACAGAGCAAGACCCTGTCTCTTAACAACAACAAACAGTATGTATGCCAAATAAAACTTATGTCTTCAAGCTTGTGTTACTTGTGGGCCATCCTTTGTCAACCAAGTCCTAAAGACAAAAACATGACCAAAAAATATTAAACATGATCACATTGCCATTCAAGTCCAAAGTCAACACATAGACATTATCCAATATGAAAAAACTCAGAGAATATAACATCTTCAAGACCTTCCTGGAAACATTTATTGAGTAGTAAAATTCAGCAAACCAGGAGATAAATCAGAATAACCGAAGAAGAATCCTGATAAAAAGCACTGAGAGTGAAGATTAAATCCTCTATATAGAAACAATTCTTGACAACTATGAGAATTATAACTGCAGAATAAAATTAAAATAGTATAAACTTTGCCAAAGTAGAATAAATAATATAACTTTAAAAAAAATGAAGCAAGGGACTAGTGGAAGTGTTTGAACCCTTAAAGTTTGAAACAATTTTAGACGTTAACACAGTGCTTCTTAAGGTTTTCTTAATCTTTTTTCCTTTTTTTTTTTTTTTTTTTTTTAATGAATGGCAGTCTTTTTTATCTTTTATTTCACTGGAAACCAGTTTAATTTTTTTCATTGAAAGTGACATATATCATAATTACATTGTAATAAAATTATTGTGTCTGTATGTCTAGCCTTTTTAATGTTTATATACATGAATTTCAGAATGATTTTTACCTGCTTATAATAGTGATGATTTCTTTATGGATAGGACTGTGGCTAAAAACAATTTTTTTGTTCTTTTTATATTTTTCTATGTTGCTTGAATAACTTATAATAAGCCTATAGAGAGAGAGAGAGAGAGAGAGAACTTTCTCATTGCTCAAAAGATAAGTATCTTACTGTGAAAGTTTAGTGTTCCGAAACTGGAACAGTTTTTCATTTTGTGGTAATGATAATACTGAACCCCTAATGTCTGTATTATGGACAATATGAAATATAAGACTTTCTCTCATTAATTTTTTTTTAAATGTTTTTTATGAAATTTAACTTCTTACTCCAGCCTTTTGAGTAAGTGTCCCATTTGAATCTTCTTCACTGGAGAATGAATGTATCAGTCAGAGTTCAGTCAGGGAAACAGAAAGCCCTTTTGGTATTTCAAACAAAAGCAATTTAATTGAAGAAATTAGTTACATGGTTGTTGGAAATGCTGGGAAAGCAAAAGGGAGGAAACATGGTTATGGAGAAACAAACAGGAAGAGGGGGTAATGCCTAAAATTCAGATGCATGGGTCACCCGTGGGCTGGAGTCCACAAACCTACACCTGGTACTACACTGTTAGAGCTCTGTTTCCCTGACTGAACTCTGACTGATACATTAATTTTCCAGTGAAGAAAAGTCAGTCTGTATCTTGCAGAGAAGTACTGCTTTAATCAAGGATGGGACCATCTACAGGATGCTTTTTCTCACTATGCCCTATCCCCATAACTATTAAAGCAGCTGCCAGCAGCTACCAGTTTCCTGCTCTGCCTTTCTCCACTTTCTGATCTTCCACCAGTACCTTCTAAAAGCAGAACCTAAGGCAAAATAATCTAGAAAATGGAATTTGTTTATCATAGCCCTTGCAAAACATAGGGCACAGGACAGGATTGGGCCTATGACAGCTCGCACATTAAATTGTATATATGTAATCGTATATATTTATAGTTTTAAAAAGTTAAGCTTTGCGTTTGTAGTTCTTAAGAACTTTAAAACATATCCAAAGCACTTTTTAATCATCAAAATGATTAGACGTCTTGTAAATGAACTAGGAATGGGAACATAAAAAATGTTAGCTGGACACAGTCCTGTCCCTAATGAGTATGCACTAAATAAACTTTTTTTCCCTTCATAATAAGCAGTGGTGGAGAATACTGGAACTGTTGTCATACTTAAAATGTTGAAATGCTCTTTTGACTGACAGATGGTACTGGGACTATCAGATCTATTACTTTCTCCACCAGTCTCTTCATGTACATATCCTTATCTCTGTTCCAAAGTATTCAGAGGATTAACATCATTATTCTAATGTGGAAATACAAAACAATGATGAACTTTAATGTATTACCTCCCTCTTAGAGGAAATACTTTCTTAGGAAGATTCAACTTGAAGTTTAAAAATCATGGTAATATTTCTCATTTTTCCATTAAAATCTCATAAAAGTGTCATTCAATTCATATTTACTGATCTTTATCCATGGAAAATAGTCTTAAAATTGCTTGCTTAACTATAGAAACTGGCATTTGGCTGATTTTATATGCATTCGTTATCTATATTTGTATATGGTTACATTTGATATACCTCAAATTTATGTTCATTCACAGTTAAGTAATGAGAATGTCTCAAATAAATGCTCTGAGAACTTTTATTAACAAATTTCATCAGAACACATTGGTGTATACCTCAGAAGAAGATCAGTTTCTCTGTATCAACAATTTCCCTCTAGACAAATCAGCTTGAAAACAAATCTCCTAGTGCCAAACCCTCACCATTTTTCTGCCTCAGTTCCTTCCTCTAAACAAAAATCTAGAGCTGTTCTGTGTCTGGACATGGAGGGAGTTGAACACATCTTTCTTCATGAATGAGAGAAATGTAACTAAGCTTCATTCATCCAGGCAGAATTGGAATGTTGTCCAGTCTTTTTATTCTCTGCTTCCTTTTCTCTGCTAGAAATGTCTTGTCTCTTAGGAAATTATACTATAATCATGTTATGTGTTGTCATTTTATCTTATAGTTCTCTTTAAGACTTTATTGTTGTGCATATTTATATATTTCAGTGGGAGAACTGAAGTCCAGTCAGTTCAGTATGGCAAAGAAAAGGCAAATAAAGACAGGGTATTTGCAAGGTAAGCCAAATCTGTTTCATTGTCTGAATTTTTTTAAAAGATGGATTGAGTTTACTAAAATTTTTCTAAATATTTTTTCTTAAGTTTTTCTAAATATTTCAAATTTTTGATTACAGAATTATCACTGTTCTTTAACAGTAAATAATGTTGAGGGAATGATAAACTAGCTTGTCTAGTTTATTGATTCATTTTTTATATGAACATTAATAGTGTGCCAGGCATTGCAGCTCTGAATAGGCTGATCAGATATTATGTTATTAATATAATATTTTGTTCAAGGTTGCTTTCCTTTTTTAAACATTTTTGAGAAATATAGTGACTTATTTCATGTTATCAAGCCATTTCCATATTTATTTAAATTATATTGTTAAGAGATAAGTTGTTTTATTTTTGTTTACCATTTATTGTCTTATTTCTTTAGGGTCTATCATAGTCAATTTGCTCTTCTTTTTTTGTTGTTGTTTTTGTTTTGAGATGGAGTCTTACTCTGTTACCTAGGCTGGAGTGCAGTGGCCCAATCTCAGCTCACTGCAACCTCCACCTTCTGGGTTCAAGCAATTCTCCTGCCTCAGCCTCCCTAGTAGCTGGGATTACGCATGCCACCACACCTGGCTAATAGTTTTGTATTTTTAGTAGAGATGGGGTTTCACCATGTCAGCCAGGCTGGTCTTGAACTCCTGACCTCAGGTGGTCCCCCCACCTCAGCCTCCCAAAGTGCTGGGATTACAGGCATGAGCCACCACTCCTGACCTAGCTGATTTGCTTTTTAACAAGTGAAATGACATGATAAGATCTATGTTTTAGAAAATAGTATTATGAGTAACGATAGAGAATGGATTAGAAAGGAAAGCCTCGTTACCCAGAAACTAATTATAAGGTAATTGCAGTAATCCAAGTGAAAATAATAAAGGCCTGAACAAAAACATTGGTAATGGAATGGAAAATAGGGAACAAATTTAAGGAATGTTTTGTAGGCAGAACTAGCAGGATCTGATGACCAACTAGACACAGGTGTGTTAGAGACAAGAGTCTGTTTTCAGTGAAAATTACTTTGAGAGGCTAAGTCTTTTAATTAGTTATGTGCTTGGCATCTACTGCTATTAGAGGCTTGAGTTGTAATAAAGAGAACTAGAAAGTTTGCTTTTGATTTCACTCTGTTTAAATTTTGTTCTTAAGCCTTTATCTAACAGACCTTCTTTGTGTTTCCAGAGTAAAGGGAGTTTTGTGTTCTTGGTTTTTTTCTTCCTCCTTCCAAAAGTGGAAATTGCTTTTTTCCCCTAGTAATGTAAGTGATAGCTCATTATGTTTAAATACTCCAACAGTATCAAAGAACATAAAGAAAATTTATCATCCGAAGACAACTTTTTAAAAAAAATTTTATACTCATTATTCAGGATTTTTCTATGCATATACTCATAGAGACATTTTTATATGTGTGTATGTTTGTTTTGAAATTGTTTTATACTATTTGTTGTTTGTTTTTATCATTTAACATATCATGCACGTTTTCTTTGCCGTTCAAAAATCTAGTCATTTATAATGGCAATAAATCCTTTAACAGTTAAATACTTTAATTGTAAACTATAAACTTAACTTTTAGGATTCCTGCCTTTACTGAGCCACGCCCCTGCCTCCAGAGTAGTTGTTGCTAAGACTTTGTAAGGATATCACAGTAATATGTGACATACAGCTTACATTTAGTAGTCTAGTATATGAGGAAATAATAGTTTAGTACGTTGTGAATTAACATTAATAGAAGAGCCATAAATGGTAACTTAATCTTTATTTTAAAAATCAAATGCTTGAGATAATATACTTTATTTTTATTCTGTTGTGACTGATAGGAAAATTTGCACTGCAATGTGAGGGGCTTGGACCAAATGGTGTCATGAGTTGTCTTCAAATAAAAAAATCCTATAATTTAAACCTGTGATAATGGAAAACCTTCACACCTAAATTACTTTGAATTCACTTATGGAAAATGAAATCTGAGTCCGTGTATTTTTTTTAAAAAACAATAACATTTCTTAAAATATTTTTCTGATTCTTAGTGTTGTAACACCATAACAATGTACTTAAAACTTTTTATTCCTCTCTTAACAAGCGTGTTCTTTCTTGCTTGACTTTTATAAAAAGTATAGAACATGTGATTTGATCACTAGTTGTATGTAGTATATCCTAATATGAATACCAGATCATAGGTGTATTTATATATTAAGTTAATATCACATATAAATGATTTCTTTATAAGTGTTAATGTTTTAATATTTTGATCATACCAGATTTTAGAAATAAGCAGAGTTATACCTGCATTTAGTTGTTCATTTTGTGTATTAATTATTAAAATGTATAGTTGTTTAATAGGTTATTTTGTAAAACAAATAGCCATTATTCAGTGAATAGTAGAGGTAAAATTTCAATATTATAAGCCTCAAACAACTCTCCTATTCCTTTTGTTTTTCTAGAATTGTGTGGTTCCTCTGAAATAATAAGGTATCAGCTACAATGAGGTTGTAATAGTACTGGGCTGTTTAATGATCTCTCTTCCTCTGAAAGATGAAGCTTTTCTGGGATTGTTTTTCTAATATGTTAGGATCTAGTTGTAATAAACAGATATATACCTACCAAAATTCTCTAATGGTTTTAGTAATTATTAAGTTATTTTATTAAAGTACCAGATAATTCTAGAGCTCTTTTTTTTCCTTTGGGTTTCAGTTGGCAATATGAATAGATAGAAAAGGCTCCTCCTTAAACTTTTCATATAATAATTTTTTAGCAATCATTAAATGTTTTTTCTTTTTTCTGATTATCACCTCTTCATGTTCGCCTCAGCAACACGTATACTGATTATCACCTCTTCAAATTGCTTTCACATTTTGCAGTTGTCATATATCTAAGAAAAGAGAAAAACAGTGTTCTCATACAATAGAAAAATAAGGTGCCCTGCACAGAAAAGAAGCTTACCACATCGCAAACACACTGATGCTGTGTGGTATTTTTTTCTCTGAAATTTCCACACTCAACAGGAAACATAGACAGCAAGCTTGAGTGGGCGGTTCCCTGAGGTTAAAACTGTTAATAAAATAAAATACATGAAGTTTGGTTTTAAGTTCAAAGTGTCCAGCCATGTTTAGTCCATTAACAGCAATAAAGTGTTCTGACGCTTCAGACTAGGTGAGTGTGCTGGAATTTTTTTTCTTCAAATGACTTTTTCCAGCTTTTAGAAAATGAAAGTAGTTGATCTACTGATTACAGTTAGTGAACTTTCATACAGCTTACATTTCGTAGTTTAATATTTGAGGAAATAATAGTTTATTACATGATAAATTAGCATTAATAGAGCCGTAAATATTAATCTTTATTTTAAAAATCAAATGCGTGAGATAATATACTTTATTTTCATTCTGTTGTGACTGAAGAAAATTTGCACTGCAATATGAGGGGGTCGAACTAAATGGTGTCATGAATTGTCTTCAAATCAAAAAATCCTATAATTTAAACCTGTGATAATGGGAAACATTCACACCTAAATTACTTTGAATTCAGTTACGGAAAATGAAATCTGAGTCAATGTATCTTTTTTAAAACTAATAACATTCCGTGTCTTAGAAAATGCCTACAAGTTTTTTGATTAAGAAAATGTCATTAGGCCAAACTAAAAAAGTTTTAGGTATGAATTGCTGAAATGATAGGACACTTGTGTAGTTTAGATTCATAAGTAACTTAAATTTTTTGTGGTTTAGTAAAATTAATAGGCTAAAACATTGCCCTGAAAATTTGGATATTCATAAATCATAAAATTCAGGAGGTAGGGAGAGACCTATGGGTCATATTGTGCTAAGAAATTTATACATTTAGATACAGAAACATAAGAGGTTTGCCTAATAAGCCACATCTAGGATTCAGAGTCCTTATTATTTTAATGCTTCCTACTGTACACATAATGATTTATTCAGTTCTCTTTGGTCAGTGTTATTGTGCGTTTTAGTCCAACCTTTCTTTTTACACATTTAACATATTGGAAAGGAAATTCTAGTAGATAGTGAAACTTCAAACTTCGTGAGATCATTATGTATTAGAATTCTAATGTTATTAAGTTTTAATGTAATCAGATGAGTTAATATAGCGTTTGCTTTGTGCCTGCCTTGGTAATTGTTTTATTTTTTTAGCCATACAGAAGTGTATACATAGTACATGATGAGAGGAAAATATCCCAATGAGCTAAAAAGCAAGTCCAATACTACCTGCATTTCTTTATCATTATAGGAAAATCTGAAAATAAATCCAAATTCACACAACAAAAGCCCATAATTCCTATTAACTATAACCAAAAATAGTCTTCATTTTTAAATTTTACTCAAATAGGTATTTCTACCTAAATGTTTATGATCTGATTTTTGTAGGAAGACAACAGGATGTTTCATTTTTTGTAAATTGTGCTATAATGGAAAATATATATAATTTTTATATGCTTCAGTTAATCACTGAAATATAATACTGTTTACAAGATGATTTATTATATACTTTATATATGTAGCTTAAATTATTAGCCTCCACATTAACTCTGCACGTCGTAAAGCCAGGCATTTAAAGAGATAACATATATTTTCAGCTAATTTTGTCCATTATCTGAATTTGCATATAAAAATACTTTATTTGTTAACATTCCTAAAATTCTAAGGGTTTATGATCTCTGCATAGATCAATATCTTTTGATCTGAATGAATCAATATCAAAATCTTTCTCTCTCTCTCTTTCTCTGTTTCTCTCTCTTTCTCTCTTTCTTTCTTTCTTTTTTTTGGGACAGGGTTTTACTCCTATCACCCAGGCTGTAATGCAGTGGTGCTATCACAGCTCACTGCAGTCTCAAATTCCTGGGCTCAAGTGATCCTCTGACTTCAGCCTCCCAAGTAGCTTGGACTACAGGCACCTGCCATCATACCCAGCTAATTTATTTTTTATAGAGACAGAGTCTCCTTATGTTGCCCAAGCTGGTCTCTAACTCCTAAGTTCCAGTGATCCTCCCATCTGGGCCTCCCAAAGTGCTGGGATTACAGTCCTGAGCCACCCCGCCCAGCCAAGATCTTTTTTCAAAACATCACTTAGTTTTCATCTTTATCATTAGGATACCTGATAATATATAGATGGGTAACAAAACATATCCTTTTACTCTCCACCAATAAACAGAATTGTTAACCCTCCAAAATGTTTTTGGAAAAAAGGGAAAAATCCACTAGCCTACTATACGTAAAAAATTGTTTAAATAGATAAAATATAATATGCATAATTATTTTTGTTCTGTATTCATTGAGGCAGAGGGTTGGGATTTAGATATAGAAGCATTCAGGAGATAATGTGCTAGGAATTATTTAATACAGCCCAAGATAAGCTAGTGTTCCAGATACTCTGGAATAGAAGTAGGTAGTATCTATCTTATCAGTAACATATGAGAAAACATTTGGTAGCAGACCCTTCCCTTTTTACCTTTCTCCTTCCTTTTCTTGTTTCTTCTGTTTTTCTCATCCTTCTTATTCTCTTATTCTTTCTAGCCTATCCTTCCTTTATTCATGTAAAACCAGTGTACATTCTTAGGAAGTTATTTGGTAAATAGCCTCTAAATGCATTAATTTTTTACAAAGTAAACTCTTTATGTTGCTCTTCTAGAACATAATCTATGAAAACAAATGTAGGATTTGATTCATAGTTTGGGATATAAAAATAAAATTTTTAACATATTATTTAATTTATTTCTGCAGATCCCCAAGTAAGCCCTTGGCACGGAAATTAATGGATTGGGAAGTAGTAAGCAGAAATTCAATATCTGATGACAGGTTAGAAACACAAAGCCTTCCATCACGATCTCCACCGGGAACTCCTAATCAGTAAGTGTGAATTCTGTGACCAACATCAGGTGTGAATTTTGCTAATTTCTAATTATTAGCTGTATATTTTTATGCCTAAGATAAAGATACAGAAAAATTGAGTTCTTTCGGTGAAACATGATTTTTGTTGCTCCAGAGCATTATTTTCTCTTCGCCTGCTGCTCATTGCAGAAGCAACACGGTATAGACTTGCGGGATGAGAGTAGCAGATTGAATAAGAACCCCCCACTCTCAACTTTCCTCAACAGTTAACTTTCACAGTTAAGAGTTCCTGATAAATGAAGATCTGTTAGACTTAAAATCTCATATGGTTGTTGTTGACATACTCACTTTTCATGTGGATTCCCAGCAGAATTTCTAGGGGAGCATATATTGTTTGAAAATGCTTTGCAAGTGATTGTGATTCTCTGAAACCCCCACCTCAACCATGGCTTCAGCATGTTCTATGGCCTAGGAAAAGGGGTTTCCAGCACCAGTCCCTACAAGTTTAGCTCTCCCTGAGCTAAAAGGCACTGTGATTCAGCACTCACCGTATATGTACTTCAGTCTGACATTGCTCACAAAAGTTGTATGTTTTGGTGTCAATTATTGTAAGATCATAAATTAGCCAAATGTACTAGCCAAAGATGTTGATTATCTTAATTTGATAATATTACAAATGTTGTATGTAATTAAGATAATGGTAAACAAATGTGTGCCAACATATCAACCTACTTTATTAACTCATAAGGTTCACTTCTACTTGAATGTTGGTATGCAATATAATATTTGAAGATGTCTTTTTTCATAAATGTTTTACGCACATTAATGTTTAATAAATTTGCACAAAATTCTAAACGTGGCTGGGTGTGGTGGCTCATTCCTGTAATCCCAGCACTTTGGGAGGCCAAGGCTTATGGATTCCTTAAGGTCAGGAGTGCGAGACCAGCCGGGTCAACATGGTGAAACCCCATCTTTACAAAAACACAGGAAAATTAGCTGAGCATGGTGACGTGCACCTGTCAGGTGGGTGGGGCAGGGATTGTTTGAACCCGGGAGGCAGAGGTTGCGGTGAGTTGAGATCACGCCACTGCACTTCATCCTCGGTCACAGAGTGAGACCCTATCTCAAAAAAAAAAAAAAAATCTAACAGCTACAGCATTGAAGCCTATTATCAGCTGAGGAATAAACTTCTACCATATCGGAACAGTTTATACATAAACAGTTTGGTTCACAGAGCTTTAATACTTACATGTTAAAGTTACTCCTAGAAAAAAGTGGACTTAGTAATTTCTATCTTGCCAATTTCAGGTTGCTTTTATCATTTTTTCTCATAAATGATTGCGTATATTCAAAGCCTCATTAGGTTGTCTGAAGAAAATTCAGACCTGGTTTTTCTCTTCCCTTTTGCAACCAGCCATTTCTTCATTTATACCAGCAACATTAAAAAACAATAGCAAGTTATAGAAAATGTAAGATATTTAAGCCAAAGTACTCAAATAATTAATTAATTAGCAGTAGCTCTGATTAAGTTTTCTGGTTAATGAAACAGTTTTAGATACAACCTAAAAAGATTTTTTAACATTCTGAAGAGACAGTACAAAGTGGTGGTTAAGAGCATGGGCCCTGTAATCACTGTATGCTTGACCTTGGGCAAGTTAGTTAATCTCTGTCTCATTTTTCTCATCTACAAAATTATATTTATAATAAAGTCTTTCTTATAGTACTGTTACGAGGATTAAATGAAATGCTTAGAGCAATGTCTGACACATACATAAGTACTGAAATATTGTAATTAAAAATTATAATAACACTACTTTGTGTGACTGTCAAGAGGATGGCAATATAGAATTCAGTATCTATTCTAAGGATTCAAAGAAAGTCCCGTAAATGAAAGCATTTATAATGATTAAAAAATAATTCAGACTAGAATATATTTCTAAATCATTTATTCTAATCCCTTTATTTTATAAATGCTGAATAAGACAAAATCGTAGTGACTGACACCTAGAAACATTAAGGCACTTAGAGATAGTAGGTGACTTTACGGGTAGAATCCTTGGCAGGTTGTTGACTGTAACTCCGATCACTGACTTCCCATTCTCTGTTCTCTCTGTTTACATCACACTGTCTTTTTCAGAGATTGCTTAGTCAACATGGCTTGACTTAAAAACACATACCCACTTTTTGATGCAACCATATATTAAGAAACTTGGAAATTTTTTTAAAAAATTTAAAAATTTTTAAAAAAGCATATTTTAATTCAGTTTTTCTCCCTCTTTATTTAGTCGAAATTCTGCATTCACGCAGGAAGGAACCCGGTTACGACCATCTTCAGTTGGTCATTTGGTAGACCATATGGTTCATACTTCCCCAAGCGAAGTGTTTGTGAATCAGAGATCTCCGTCATCAACACAAGCTAATAGCATTGTTCTGGAATCATCACCGTAAGAGCTTTTTTATTTTGCTTCCTCACTCTGTGTTTTCAATGCCCCAAATTGCTTTATTTAAAATAATCTGGGAAATTAGGATATTTGATACAAGATTTTAATTATGCAACTTTTCAAAATTTATATATTTGCAGTTATGCTCATTTGTTCCTGAGAGTTCTTGTTGCCTCTCCCTCCCCCACTCAGTCACTATGTTGTTATTTTGTTGACTTAGGTCTTCAATTTTTAGTGTATAAACTCAAATATTTCTGCAGATAATGTAGCACTCTGGTCAAGGAGGAGGGTAAAGTAGAATTTTCTTAATATTTTTAAAGGAAAAGAACCATAAGTATGAGTAAAAAGTGTTTAGAAAATTAAAATACTTACAAGGTATGTAGATAGGTAAGAAGATTTTTGAATTTACCTATGTAGATAGGTAAGAAGATTTATTTCTTGAGAAGGAGAAATTGGTGTAAGATATAGTGAATGTGATCAGGGGTAAAGAGTGGGCCCAAGAGTGGTAGGTGGAAGAGAGTACAGGTGTAGGGTCATGTTTGTCCCTGGGTAGGGTAAACCAAGGAATACTGGCTGAGCTATCAAAACAAGTAAGAGTTCAGCCTGCATGATGTATATCTTGGTAAAACATTTTGATTGTGTGTATATATTATTTAAAATGGAGAAATAGGACAAATACACACTGTACAATGATACCTGTGGGGAATTAGTTGGCAAGAAATAAGATTGATGGGAGATTTAATGTTTTATTACTTTAGAATTTATAATTCTAAACTTTCCGGTTGATTTTTAATAATTATGTATGTTTTAATTTGGAAACTTTAAAAAGTATAGTAATTAAGGACATGATTGAAATATTGATTTGATTTTAAAATTACATACTTTCATGACATAAAAATGAACCATATGCAGGAATCACAAAAGCCTAATTATTACAAACCAAAACCAATATAACTCTTGAGGCCTAACAAAATTATCTTCATCTATTTTTAAAGGGCCTTTTCCAAAGAAAGACATATAAACACAATTGAATATTTCCACATGTAAATTTTATAGATTCACAAACCCCCAAATCACTTGCTGATATGGTTTGGCTCTGTGTCCTTACCCAGATCTTACCTTGAATTGTAATCTCCAGGTGTCAAGGGGTAGGACCAAGTAAAGGTAGTTGAATCATGGGGGTCATTTCCTCTTTCCATCATGCTGTTCTTATAAGAATGAGTCTTACAAGATCTGATGGTTTTATAAGTGTCTGGCATTTCCCCTGCGTGCACTCATTTTCTCTCCTGCCACCCTGTGAAGAGGTGCCTTCCACCATGATTGTAAATTTCCTGAGGCCTCCCCAGCCATGTGTAACTGTAAGTCAACTAAACCTCTTTTCTTTATAAATTACCCAGTCTCAGGTGTTTTTTCATAGCAGCATGAGAATGGGCTAATACATTTGCCATCTCAAAACACCTTTATTCTATTTTCCTAACTTGAGTGGAGAAGCAAGTTCAGGGTAACTTGGAACTGTGAAGAGTTTTTGCTTCTTCTGTCTTGTGCACAAGATTATAAAATGCTTGGAGTCTCTTTGGACATGTATTTTATAAGGCTTATGTGTTTGTATTCCATTTTGAATCTATAATACTGCATTTGACATTCAACCAGTTTTTAACCTTAAGAATAGTGAGAGAGCTCTGAAAAGATAAGCTTATTAATAGTAACTTACTTAGTTGCTTACAGTCACTTTTACATAAATTCTCTCACTGTTCTATTCAGGAGAATTCAGTGAAGTAGGAAAGATATGTAATATCCATTTTATAGATAAGAAAGCCACACTTAGAACACTTGTCCCAATTTACAGAACAAAAACTCAGGCTTTCTCTAGCAGTCAGCCAGGAGAACTTTGTATTCCAAACAAGATGTTATAGATGTTCTTTGATTTGCAATTTAGATAAAATACTTTGCAACTTGGAATCCATAGATTTTAGTTTTTCTATTGTCCAAATGTGAAAAGAATTTAAATGATATATTGGATTAAGCACAGAACATTTCAACATGTAATGAAATAGATTTTTTTAAGGTTTTTCACATATTCCTTTTTCTAATTGTCAGATAAAATAATCTTACCAATTCTTTATTTAAGTGAGTACAGGAGGTTGCTTATACTGTTTAGAATAAAGTTATCATTTATAGGCTAAGGATAAAGTAAAGGAGACCACAGTCTACAACACAGCATGTGAATTGGATGGTTAAATTTATTAGTATACAAATTTCTAAAGGCGGCAACAGAGAGCTGCATTAACTGCAAAATAAGCTTTTTTCACTGCTGTTGTTGAAGCATTTATAAGAAAATTTAAAGCTGACTGGACTGAAATAAATTGTGCACATTTTTTCACATATCTTGAATGACATTTCTAACAAACCTTTTGCTACTATGTGACAATATATTGCTGTGTTACCAGCATGGTACACTTGAATATAACATTTTCATTATTTACCCTCCACTTAACATTTTTCAAAATGTCAAATTGCCAAGTGTGGTGGTGTGTACCTGTTGTCCCGGCTTACTCAGGAGGCTGAGGCAGAAGGATCACTAGAGCCCAGGAGTTCGAGGATGTGTTGCTCCGAGATGGCACCTGTGGATAGTCACTGCATCTCATCCTGGACGATACAGCAAGACACCATCTTGTAGAAACCAAAAGCAAGAAAAAGGTCAAAGTTTAAGATAAGCAAGTTATTTTTGGTAAAAAGCCCCAATATGAACGTTGGGCATTTGGAACACTTTTAGAATTACATTGCCATCTCTCCTTTCTCTTAACAACCAAAAGTTAACACGAGTAGTACTTTTTTTTTAATGTGGATAAATTTTTTTTTTTTTTTTTTTTTTTTTTTGAGACAGAGTCTCGCTCTGTCGCCCAGGCTGGAGTACAGTGGCGCGATCTCGGCTCACTGCAAGCTCCGCCTCCCGGGTTCACGCCATTCTCCTCTCTCAGCCTCCCGAGTAGCTGGGACTACAGGCGCCGCCACCACGCCCGGCTAATTTTTTGTATTTTTAGTAGAGACAGGGTTTCACCATGTTAGCCAGGATGGTCTCGTTCTCCTGACCTCGTGATCCGCCCACCTCGGCCTCCCAAAGTGCTGGGATTACAGGCGTGAGCCACCGCGCCCAGCTAATGTGGGTAAAATTTTTTGTGGGTAAACCGTGTACAGAATGTGTTTCGAGCCCTGGTGCCCCCTCCTCTAGTACATTTTAGGCAAATTATTGGTTTTAAATATATTAAAACAATTGAGTTAGAAATGTTATCAATTAAAATAAATATGGATGTATATAAGCCCTGGTGTTTACTAATCTTGCTTTCTGTTCATTAAAATATAAGTAATTTCTGTTAGAATTTAAAATATAGCAGTATTACCATAACCAAAATGAAGTGATTTAAAATAGTCATATTCTGGATATGTTCTGATAAGTTCTAGGAGTTCTGTTGAGGCCTCAGATACTGACTGGGGGGATGCTTATTAGCATTTACCTATTTTGTAAATTGGCTTCTTAGAAACTTTTTTTTTTTTTAGGAAAATGTTCCGCTGCCACGAAAAGTTTGGAAACTCTGATTTAAAATAACTTTCCTCCTTTTTGCAGTTACTTTCTTTTAGATGCAACTATATATCATAGTGGTTATGAGCACAAGCTCTGGATTCAGACTAGGTTTAAAACGGGGTTCCACTACTTCTAATTAGGTGACCTTTGGTGAGTTATTTTATCTTCGTAAGCCTGTTTCCTTACTGTTAAAAAACAGGGTGATAATAATACCTACCTCCAAGGATAGCTATAAGCATATAATAATTACATAGCTTTTTTCAGTTAAGCTTTTGGGATATATTCCAACAACTTTTAATATATTATCAACAGTTTGTCTGGATATTTGAAGTGTGAGCATCTGGTTGAACACAGTGAGGAAGTCTCCAGATTCTCAACTTTGTTCTTACGTCCCTAATCACACGATATTCTAGGCAGACTTTATAATCCACAAGTGGCTTTTTGTTTGTCTGTTTGTTTACTTAGGGACAGGGTCCTGCTCTGTTGCCTAGGCTGGAGTGCAGTGGTGTAATCACTGCTCCCTGCAGCCTCAACCTCCTAGGCTTAAGTAATCCTCCTACCTCAGCCTCCCAAGTAGCTGAGACTGCTGGAGCACGACACCATGCCCAGCTAATTTTTGTATTTCTTGTAGAAACAGAGTTGCATCATGTTGCCCAAGCTGGTCTTGAATTCCTGGGCTCAAGTGGTCCACCTGCCTCAGCCTCCCAAAGTTGTTTGGGAGGATTACAGGTTTGAGCCACCGTGCCTGGCCATCTTGTGTTAAATCCATTTCCCTGAGCCATTCTTTCCTGGACTATTTCCTTCTAGTCTTATCTAATGAATCCCCACAGCTTTGTTCATACCTCATCAGTTCCTTTTGCTTGGTCTTCAAAGCTTTGCCTTTCCTCCACCCCTCTCAACTACTGGCACTGATGATTTCCATCTACAATTCATTGTCCCCAATTCCCATTCCAGTCTTGATCAAGTCTAGCAATATGTTGTGAACTCTTCAAATACTAGGCTATTCTAGGACAAGGAGATTTAAAAAATCAAAGAAGGTTGAATAGAAGGAGATACCAAGCCATGGGGACTTAGAGAATGTACCATATTAGATGCTGTATTCGTGGCATCAAGACTAATTACGGGTCCCTGGACAGTAGCTGCAGTATGCTTACCTGTCATTCATCTCTGGCTAAAGGCTCTGTCACTTGCACTTGGGAGCCAAGGGCGGACACCTTGATTTGGTTGAAACCAAGAATCTCAGGTCTCTGGGAGGCTTGTTCTGGAATAGATTCTTACTGATAAAATCACATGACATTGTCAGTTCTATTCTTAGATATTAATCATGTCCCTGATAGTTTACATGAACTTTTTAAAGTGCCTTGTGCATTAATTAATAATCAACCTGAAATGGCGTTTACTTTGAAACACTGTCATTATCAGA